CAAAATAAACAACATTTAACAAGGAGTCTCCAATGAACTTGTGCAATGGGAAGCCAGAGAGTTTAGTTGCTCATAGAATAAATAAATAGACTGATTTGCTAATATTGGCCACTAAAAAAAAGCAATCTGTCATGTCTGTGCATAGCTAATCAATGAACAAGTGGGAAAATGAAGATGCATCATCAGCAGCTACAACCAGCTCACTGTAGCCTACAATTTAGATTGGTGCCCAATTCTCGAGGGCCACTATCCTGCATGTTTTATGGCACTTTGCCGCCGTCTCAACTCTCATCAGTTCCACACGACACAGCACCAGTTAAGGGCCTCCCCACTGTGGATACCCACCCCCCACTCAGCTCGATTTATGGGACCACCTTGTTTGAAGTTCCTGTTTGAGGCTGCTCCAGGGGGCTGATATTGACGTAAGCAGACAGTAGGCTTGACTGACCAGTGGCGCTAGATCACTGGATGACCCGTCCGGCAAAACTGTAAACTACATCTGAACCTCCACTTCCTCATTGTGTTGACGGACCAGTGGCACAAAGAATTTACCATTTACCGAGATATATCAGAGACAATGGCGCAGCATGGCTACACCCGGATTTAAAAACAGAGCCGAGATAAGCCAACGAAATTCAAGTTCGATTACAGGGCAATTAAGGACCACAACGGGTGGAGTGGCTCGAACACAAAAAGACCAGTTACTATCCTGCACACAGAGTGGGGAAACAGGTCATTCCCCACTGTAGTGGCAAACCATCTACACCTGAGAAGAACCGAGAAGAGGAGAGCCGAGCGGAGCCGCACTTACCAATGGCAAAGCGGCATTAGATGTTTCCTTGCTCTTCAGCAGGTCTTCAAGTACTGCAAAAGTCTGATAATATATATCACTCATTTATTCAAAATCAGGTGTTTCAAACCAGAGAGACGTCTAAAACATGCAGGATAGTGGCCCTTGAGGACCAAAACTGGCACAGCTGATTTAGGTTTTCTAAGTAAGAATGCTCTTATATATTTCCTGATGCATCTTATATATTATTTTCAAGTTTACAAGATCGTAAAATATATATTAACTGAAATTAAGAAATATTGGTAAGCAACCTGTCCAGGGTGTACCCCACCTCTCACACAGTGATGGCTGGACATGGGCACCAGTGACATCCCACGACCCAAAAAAGGAAGAAGCAGGTAAAGATGATGGATGGATGGATGGATGAAAAACACATATTTGCCAAAATATGCTTTTTATCGGTTTATAAAAAAAGAACATTAAACAAAAATGTTTGAACATTGCGCATTACTTAATTGTTTGCTATGACTAATGAGGCTACTTAAACAAATGCACATGAGCAGGCTCTTTTATATGAAATGCACTTTTGATATTTACCTAAGCTGCACCACTGATCTTGCTTGTTGGGAATATAAAGTAACATGGGAGGAGAAGAGGAGGGAGGAGGAGGATGGTATGAAGCACAAAGGGAAGCCAAGGAATCTCAGGATATGATTCAGTATTTGTACTGGCTTAGAAGAAAACAAGCATCACTCCGGTTTTAACTGAGGGAGGTAAAGAATCTAAACAACATGAAACTCTGGGTGAAAAACAAGGGGACAAACTACACAGGGGTATGACGAAAATGAAGCTCAAGTGCAGATTTCATCAGTAGACTTGCTGCATGTCGGGGTTTCCCTCTAATCTTGGTCTCGTCACATTTCATGCTCATTATCGCAATAAAAACTGGACAGCAAATCTGAAAAATCAGAGCGCTAAGATGCACATGGAAATTTGACACCCCTGTTGCCTACTGCTGCTCCCCTGAGACACTTTCCTCCCAAACCAAGTGTTTCCTTTAAATGGCGCCCTGCTTTAGGTTCACTCAGTTCAGAGGCTTTTTTTCCCCAGGCACAATTTAAGCTTTATATCTGCTACTTTGCAAACATTTCATACAAACTTACAACTCTGCCTGTGAATAAAGCTCCAGGCCTAAAGAGCTCATTTCACAGCTATGTTCTTAACAAATGAAACAAGACAGGGAGACATGGAAACTGACATTAGATCTGAAGATAAAAGGTCTACATGAATTGGGGCTACTGTGGCACTGAGCTCACTCCTAACGAGGCCTGAGGAACTTTCAGACATAAGCAAAACAACTGAAAAAATATCTAAAGTATTATTTAAAGTTTATGAAGTCCAGCAATGAAATACCTTCAATTTTGCAGCTCATATACGGCCAGGGTGCATACATTTAAATTGGACAAAGGATTTGGGAAAAATTGTAATTACAAAAAAATTAAAATGCTTCAGGTATTTAAAAGTTATTTGACAGCTGGGTCACAGTTTTGTAAACATTTTCTTTATTTACCGTCATATTTAAGTTAACTTGGGCATCTATAAGCAGAAAATAAATAAAATATGAACAGAGCTAAAGTACCAGTTTGGTCCTTAAAACGCACCACCGGTATTTAATTTACCTTTTATTTATACAGGTAGTCTCACTGAGTCACGAGAACTCATTTTCAAGAGAGACCTGTTTTTGGGAGCAGATGGTGGGGGTTAAGGGCCTTGTGCTCAGGGGGCCAGGGTGGGGCAAATGAGGGTGGAGGCAGGTGTGGGTGTTTCACTTTTTCCACCCGCATTTTGACGTCGACGGTAGCTGGAGTTGAACCTGCAACTTTCCGATCACAGGCCCATCTTCTCTAACCTCTGCGCCACCACTCCCCTAACACGTGGTGTTAGTTAATATTGTAATGTTCGGACAGATTTGACAAACGCCGTTTCCTGATTAAAACTATGATGATTAAAAAGTGGTGTATTGATGTTTTACTGTTTTAAAAACACAAAGATAATAAGACTACTTAAAACAAAATTACTCGAGCCTAGAGACTCATTATTAAAATTAATGTCTGCAGTGGTTCACTATATAACGTGTCCAGCAGTTTAATTAAATTGAATTCAGTTTGTTTACCGGTATATAGCTTTGGAGTATTTTCTTTATGCCTGTTTAACCTTAATAACATGTAAAAAAAAAAAAAAGTTTTTCAAACCGAGTTAATTTTAGAATATTCTTATGCCAGCAAAACAGGTTATGAACTAGAAATATTGACTTTATGTCTTGCTTGACAAGAGCAAAAATATAAACAGTCATTTCTGATAAGTTAGAAACAACAGACTTTTTACATAAAAATGCTATAAAGATTTATTTTAATCAAAGATAGTTACTTTATTCTTGCTGTATTCTAATTTAAACTACATTCTTTGTGACAGTACTGTACTTAGAAGAGGACTCGGACAAAATACTAAAAACAGTGTGCTCCTCATTTTGTCTTGATCCACGGTTCAAACATTAGATCAGGTGATAAATACAGTCAGCCTGTCTACCTCAGTATCCAAAGCACAATCTGTGGGAACTTTGGAACTTAAATAAGCTGCATGATAAAATTATTTGATTAAAATAAACAAAAAAAAAAACTAAAAATACAGTGCAGTCCCTTAAACACTAAGCTGTTTGTCATGCGTTTCAAAAGGCCCAGCAAACTTGGCTGACTGGTTTGGACGTTGCTCCTACAGAGTCCGACTAGAGACATTTTATGCTCAATTTACAAGAAACCGGCTGCCAGATATGAGAGGACAACAATGCTGTTAAGTTCAGTTAAGGAAACTGATGGTCAATTTTATAACACCTAGGATAACATTTACAGTGACATTCAGCCATGTTGAATGAGAACATATTTAAATTTCTTGGTGGTCGTCTGATCTTAAACAATAAAAATAAGCAGCCATATAAAACTTACAGCTTGTGTTTGGGTAAATTTTTACACTCCTATGTGGAACTGTCACATCTACATTTTAACAAAAAAGAAAAAGACTAAAAGGCTTGATCCTTAAAGCTATCCAGATCACACAAACAGAGATTTTAAGTTGGGCAGAGTAATTAACACCATATGTTATCTGATCAAACTGCAGTCAACTGTGTAACGTGTCAAATGCTGGGAGCAAACAACAGTTTTCACATTAGACCTGTAAGTCTTGTTGTTAAACAGTGTTCATGATCCACGTCAAAGAAGAGAGACTGCGAGTCACACAATGGTTTTCCAGCTCCGAAATCATGAGGTTACTGTACAAATACAAAGAACTGCAATGTTACTATGTAGAAGAGGAGCTAGACTCCCAAAACACCAACGAAATAAAACAAAACGTGACGATCCATATTAGGCTCATACCAAAAATGATAAAAATGTAAAAAAAAAAGAATGGAAAATTATTACCATTTTTCATTATAGCACATGTGCATATTATTTAGATTTTACAACAAAAAGCATTATTTGGTTCACATGCAGTTCACTGTAAAATGCATACTAATAGAGGGGGAGCTTTTGTTTCAGTGCAACGTTAAATGCGGCTTCAGAGTAAACAAAGTTAGGGCAGTGCCACATCCTCCCTGAACTTTCTGAGACGTGCTTTCATTAAACAAACGGAAACGTGCTGTAATAAAATGGCACACCTCAAGGAGTGCTGGGAATCTCAATGCACTGGACACAGCGCAGGCTTGGGCCTTCACGAATATATACTGTTGGGTTTTTAGGGAAAATTGAAAGCGACAATGAATATATCTTACTTATCTATTAAAACTTCTGTTTAACAAGGAGGTGGGGGTTCAGGCGCTGCCTCAGTTCTAAATACACTGTAACGTGACCCTGCAAGACGTTAGAGACTTCCAAGAATGACAACAAATACACTTCACGAGCACCGATAACTTCAAAGACCTTTTTTGTTTCACAACAACTATCCTGGCATTATGCATGCCAACGCTGACAAGAAATTTCTGTCAGTCTGAACAGTCAACAGCTCTTTTACTTTAGAGCTGAATGAAAATTACACTAAAAGAATCAGTTCTGGTAAATGCCAATTAACAGACATGTTCACACAAGCAATGCAGATATAAGATAAATCATAGCTCAACAAGTCATTTACACATAGACATACAAAAACATTAAAGTATTACCGTGTCTCCAGGGATCCTTAGGCTCCACTGCTCCAGAGACAATATCCTCATCTGAAGGGAACGTCACCTTTTTGCCGCCAGGTTTGTATTTATTGTCCTCATCCTCCACCAAGGGGTACAGTCCGGCTTGATTAGTGGCAGAAGTGTCAGTGCTGGATGTCTGCTTTGCATCTTGGCTTTCAACAGTTCTGGTAGATGGAGCATCCTGAGGAGTGGACGCAGAGTCCAAAATACCATCCGAGTTTGATTCAACATTTGCAGAATCAGCCTCCAACAACACGCCAGTCTCATCCAGACTCAGATCCACACCCATATCCATGTCCCCACCATCATCCCCCGTTTCTACAAAAACTCTGGTATTGTTAGCATCACTGTCCTTCATTTTCTCCTCCTTAATAACAGTCTTTTGCTGCTCGTCATTAAAGATCACGTCAGTGGGGTTATCTACAGCAGAGGTATTCTGGGCACAACTCTTTTTATTCCCATTGACTTCATCAATTTTCATTGTGTCTTGTGTCTGGTTGTTATCTTCCTCAGCAGCCTGAAGATTGTCAGTGAGTCCAGGCATCAGGATGGTTTCAGAGTCCTCTGTGGGAACAAGGTTTTGTTTTTCTGTGTCACAGTCCGTCATCATGTCAGAGATCCGAGGAGTGACCTCTTCTGTGCCGTTTGTAGCGTTACGATCATCATCCTCGCTGCTTTTAGATTTGACATTACAAACATCCATACAATTCTCTTCCATGTTCATGATTACATTTCCAGTGAAACTCACGTTTTCAACTGTGCCACATTGAATGGACAGAAAGTTAAACACTGACTAAGAACCAATGGACAAAGATAAGGCTGTCTCTATTTGCTGACCTTACAAAAATTAATGCTGATGAGCACCTGGCTTGGTCCTTTACTGGAAAATCACTTAAGTGTTTTTACATTTTACAACTGGAGGTTACTTTTCTAGCTGAATTCAAACACCCAAAGTCATAGGCGAATCAACTAATTAAAGTGCAATTTCATATGAACATTACCGCCAGAACTGTGTGATACTTGTGCACAAACGGACACTGTTTCAGAATTAGACATAAAGCACAGTTAGCCTAATATCCTGGCAGGTAAACACCACTCTGATCAATTGCTCCAAATTAGAAACCGACAAAAGCCTCCTTAGTCGTCAACACATTGCCAGCAGTAATAAATAGGACCAGGTCAACACACCGAAACAAACAAGTCCCTCAAGGTGCCTCCATTACGGAGGCAAAGTGAGCTTACAATCCGACACCGAACCAAGTCGACATGAATTAAAGAGAGCTAACATTTGTTAGCACGTCCAGGCCCGAGTGCCGTCGCTCGCCTGCGTTCGTCCGTTTTTTCCAAGTCCATTCTTTCGCGACAAAGAAAAAAAAAGAAGTATAAATATTTGCTTCTACTGTAGCTCTCTTGGTCTCACCCTCCTCGGTCGTGCTGCAACTCTGCTCTCATCACAACCCTCGACCAGCGGCAGCGACGAAAAAAACAGGCGTCACACTCCGAGCAGGGAGCATGTTGTTTAACCCGACCACGTTAGCGTAAACGGAGCCGGAGGCTAAGAGCGATAATTATTCACAACTAGAGTTAAGAGATTCCCAACGGTCCGTTGTCGAGAAGTATCGGTCTCCGATTAAAGTCAGGTGAGCCAGGTTTTTTTTTTTTAATGCAGCGTTACCCGTTCGCTTAGCCTGCTGAAGTCCAACAACTGTTTGTTGTTTGTGCGTCTTACGTCATCACGTCGCTGCGTTCACCGGGTGTACGTTCATCAAACGCCGAGGTGCACGCGCGAAGGCATTTAAAGGTGTTTACTGGAAACTGAGGTCAGACATTTAAAAAAAAAAAGTATGTACAGAACTAAATGGTGCAGTTTGTTTACTCCAGTAGTTTTCCAGATATGATAAATTTTGAAACGCAGGTACCACCAAGGGCGTCAGAAGCATCCGTAATGTGTGTGTGTGTGAGGGGGGGGGGGGGGACAGGACACAATGATGTGTGTGTGTGTGTGTGTGTGTGTGTGTGCGCGCGCGCGTTTAAAAAAAAGGTGTTCACTAGTGAACAAAAAAGAAGCATTTCACCTAGATTTCCTTCAATTCCACACATTTAAAACATGTTTCTCACCAAGTTTGTGTAAATTCAGCTGTGGGTTAAAGTAATTTTAACTTTAATACACTTTAATACAGAGCGTCAGGTCGGCACTATTTGTCTTTATAGAGAAATTAAAAACATCACCACTGGACTTTTTTTTACTTGTGTTCAACACTCCTCATCTAAATGATGTTTCTCATGAAGGTTGAGGACAATAAGGTGTGGGGTTTTAAAGACATTTCCACTTTAATGCACCTGAACACACAGCGTCTCTTCCACCTGCAGCTACAACGTCACACTTACTGCTGAGAGAAGATGCTACAGACGTAGCTCCTCTTCTCTCCTCCTAACATGAACATATGTTTCTGATCAACCTCCCGGTCAACAACTGCCCACACTAAGCTGCTAAACTGGCGAGCAACACTGAGGTCGGTCCAGCTCCTCCACCTGTGCGCGTTTTCTGCCGAGGCAGAAGGAGACGCACAGAAACACTGCAGGTGTTACACTATATTCTGTGACCACCGTATATTGTGACCGTGGCTTGGAGGTAACCAGGAAAACCTGGAGTGGAGTTTTAGTGGTTTGAGTATTCTCCTATTAATCAAGTGGAATGGATTCGTTCACGAAGAAAGAGAAACTGCGCCGCCTGCAGAACTAATGTTCCATAGTAAGTGTGTGTGTGTGTGTGTGGGGGGGGGGGGGGGGGACTTGTCCCCTTCACATATAATGGTTGCGACGCATATGCGCACCACATGTAAACGAAGCGATATTGACCTACATTAATTAGGCTGCAGCCATGAAGGTAAATAGATATGGCAGAATGAGACAAGAATCTCGGAGAGGACATTTAGGTGGAAGTGTGAGATTTAGTCTGCTGCTAAACACGAAAGAAAAGAGTGATGGAAATCAGGGCTTGAGCAGAGCAGGATCTCATGAAGACATCTGCTTTCAAAGCTTGTGTAACTCCAAACTGGTAAGTTTAACATTTCAACCTAAACTGTCTGTTTAGATGCTTTTCTGCTCAAATTGTTATGGGGATGAAAATTGTGTTAATTTTGTTTTACTTGGAGATTATTATTATTATTTTGACGACATGGTCTTCCAGCACTGAGTACATAAAACAATTTTCAGTGTTTTGCTTATAACATACAGATTAACAAGACTGTTAAGTTATTTTCTAAAACATATATTCTAGTTTTGTCCAGATTGTGTAAAACTAGAGGTATGAGACTTAAAGAGGACACCTTTCTGTTGCCATATTTGCAGGAGCCATGGATATACAGTAGCCTACACTTAATTCTACAGGAACACATTCAATTAATTTTGACAGTATCCCAGTTAAAGTCATAGCTAAATATCTTGCAATCCATCTAACCAAGAATTCTCTAGTATAATCTAAAAGTTAAATGTACAAATGATGATCCTGCAGCTGTTGAAACTACATTTTTTCCTTTGTGGGTGAACCCAATTCTGGTTTGATCTTAAAGCCTACATTTGTCATACATACCATTACTGTTTATTTGGTGGTGGCATTCTGGAAACAAGCATTTTTTTATTTTTTTTTATCTTTAAGCAAATGGCAAGTATACAACAGACAATTGAATGGAGTAACACTTACATGAACAAACAACCAGGGTTAATTAGACAAATATTTGCAAAGATTTACAGATAAAAATTGTCCTGAGGACCTTTTTGTTGGTAGAGACAGTTATCTAACAGTTACACATCCTTTATAAAATGAAAACATGTTAATAAATTTACATTTATGAATGTAAAATTTGGCCAAAAGTATTATCAAGTTTATTACAAAAAAAAACGTTTAGTATTCTTTCTTGGAAATCTAGAAAAACAAAATAAAACATTTTCCCAACGTAAGGAAAAATCCCTTAAAATATGCTTATTAATAAACCTGCTAAACTCCTTCCAAAACCTGCGTGTGAAAGAGCAATGCCAAAAAAAGATGCATTACAGCTTCTGGAAGATCACAAAAACTGCAAATATTTATGTCTCTTTAAATTTTACCATAATGTTTAGCAGAGTAAATTTCAAACAAGCAGTTCTTAAATTAATTGTGAGAAAATCGATCAAAAGGCCTTTGAAAAGAGCTTTGAGCATCTTGACAAGATCGAAAGGTGCTATACAAGTACAACCCCTTTAATTAAAAAACAAAATGCAAAAGGTTTAAGAAAATTGCCATTTTTGAAGATTTGATTAAAGTTATTAATGTGATGGCTTCAGCGCCAGCAGGATCCTGTTAGTTCTGGAATGTGACATTTGGCCTTTTAAGAATTACACTTTCAACATTTTACATATGTACAGTTCAATAATACCTTGACACACCCAATGGAAACATTGCGAGTTTGCTCCATAGTAACAAGACCAAAATATACATTTAGAAAAATACAAATATAAACTTTATTGTTTGGGGTATAAATTTAGTTAAAACACTTGGGAGTGGGCATCTTTAGGAGGAGCCACCTTTCCTTGACACCTTGGCCTTTGGGAGCAGGCTTGACTGGCTGTTGGGGAGCACACCACCCTCGGCGATTGTGACTGCTGCCAGCAGCTGGCTGAACTCGTCATCGTTCTTCACAGCCAACAGGATGTGTCGTGGAGTAATGCGCCGCTTCTTGTTGGCCTTGCTGGCTTTTCCTGCCATCTCCAGAAGCTCAGCACAGAGGTACTCCAGGACAGCTGCCAGGTACACTGCAGCACCGGGGCCAGTTCTCTTTGCGTACCTGCCTCTTCTGAACAGCCTGTGGACGCGGCTTACTGGGAAAGTCAACTCTGCTCTGGCAGACTGGGACCTGGCAGGTTTTGGTTTGCGAGCAGATCTTTTTTCTCGGCCGGACATCTTTGGGCTGTCTTTAAAAAAAGCAAAAAAGTAAAACAAACGAGTTTCAGTGAAAGCTAAATCCCCACATGGCACCAAAACAGTTAAATTCACGACATTCTAAAACGAACCCACTCATCAGCTCACAGCACAGTCACTGGATATTAAAAAAATAAAATTAAATAAAAAAAAAATCAAACAGCTTTTATATCAGCCAACCATTAATCAGTTGATTAATGACACCTGGATCGAATGCTGAGCCTGCATAAGGAGTTAGAAAAAATAGTCAACGTTTTATTTGTAATTTGTCTCTTAATATGATAAAACCTCAAAATTCAAAGCTATCTAGAAAAAAAAGAAACTCATCTGCATGAAAGGAAGTGCTTTATGTAACTCAGATTATAAACTGTGCTTGTGCTTTAGTTCATGGTATACTTTTTTTAATACTTGTTTGATCCATCATCTTGTTTGATGATATGAACTCATGCTTAACTTTATTTATTTTTCACTTTTAGTGGACACATTCTATGCACTTAAACATCTGTAGAAAAGTTACAAACGTGAGAAATGGTAGCACAGTGTATTAAAAAACCCACCAGCAGATGACAGCACAGACCACAGATCTCGCATCATCCTGGTAAAAGTTTTTGCTGTTTTATTCAACTTCATTTGGCTTTTTTAAGGACTGATCCTTTTCAGATTTACACAGTTTGTGTGACTTTATTTTGTCCTTGCTCTGTGTGTTCGCAGGAGTGACAATTAATATTCAGCAATCACTCATTTCATGCTGTAGAGTGCTACTTAGTACCAGAGTTCATGCTCAAAAATCCAGGTATAAAATTCAACAATGTTCAGTCCGGTCATCTGAACAGTTTCTTTTTTTGCTGAGACGTTTCGTCCGTCATCCAAAGGACTTCTTCAATCTGAGGAAACACCAACAAACCGAGTCCCACAAACAGCACACTCCCATAGTGGGGGAAAAAAAACACTACTTATTACTACTTAGTATTTATTCACAACAATTTTAGAAACAGTTTTTCATAGAAATGTCTCGTTGGAAGTCTTCTCTGTTATTTACCTGTTATTTGTTGGTACCATCACAAAACAAGGTCTCACAATCTCACCCTCAGTCAGATTAACAGCTTTATTGATCCCAAGTTCACATGCAGCCTACCAGTTAATTTATTAACTTCTGGGGGGAGGGGGATAAAGCAGACTTAAAGAGTCAGTAAATAAACCAGAAACAGAGGTGCTGAGCTGGTGTGGGTCTACTCTTAGCCCTCGTCTTGATGCCTGTGTGTGTGTTGGGAGTTTTCCCCAGTAGATGAGAAGGTAGCTTCCCTGCGCATTCGGGTGTGGGGACAGACTCTGATGGTTGTTTGTGCCTATGCACTTTCAAAGTATCCAACCTTCTTGGAGTCTTTGGCAGGGGTGCTGGAAGGTACACCAGCTGGGGACTCCTTTATTCTGCTGGGGGACTTCACTGCCCATGTGGGTAATGACAGTGTGACCTGGAGGGGCATGACTGGGAGGAACGGCCTCTCTGACCTGAACTCGCGCGGTGTTCTGTTGTTGGACTTCTGTGCTAGTTGGTCCATCACAAACACCATGTTCAGACATAAGGGTGTCTATAAGTGCATGTGGCACCAAGATCGTAGATCAATGAAATACTTTGTAGTCGTGTCATCCGACTTGTGGCCATTTGTTTTGGACACTCGGATGACGAGAGGAGCTCAGCTGCCAACTGATCACCACCTGGTAGTGAGTTGGATCAGAAGGGGGAAGATGCAGGACAGACCGGTAGACCCAAGCGGGTATTGAGAGTTTGCTGGGAACACCTGGCAGAAGAACCCCTTAGCAAGATCTTCAACTCACACCTCCAGGAGAGCTTTAACCGCACCCCAGCTGAGACAGGGGACATTGAGTCAGAGTGGGCTATGTTCCATGCCTCGATTGTTGAGGTGGCTGCGTTGAGCTGTGGACGCAAGGTTGTCGGTGCTTCTTGCGGTGGTCTTCCTCAAACTCGGTGATGGACAACCTGTGTTAGGGAGGCTGTTAAGTTGAAGAAGCAGTCCTATCAGCCTTTTTGGCCAGTGGGACTCCGGAGGCAGTTGAAGAGTACCAGATTCAAGATTCAGTACCAGCGACTCCATATAAGGTAAGAGAAATGCGTGTTTGGGTGCATTCACACTAGCCCTGTTTAGTCCACTTTAATCAAACTCTAGCTCATTTTCCTAGAAAGTCCGGTTCGTTTAGGGAGGTGTGAACGCGCCATCGAACTCTGTCATGGAACAAAAAGGCGAACTCTGGCCCGGGCTAAAACCTAGGTCTTGTCCGGTAGAAGCGAACTCCAGCGCGGTTCGAGTGCAGTGTGAATGTAAACAGACCGGACCCGCTCCACAGGACAAACAAACACGCATTTCTCTGACCTTATATGGAGCCGTCAGCTGCCTTGTGTGGAAAAACAATATTCTCCATGGTCTTCTGTCTCATCTTCTGCTCATGCTAAGTCCATTTTTGAAAAATGACAAAATATAACTCCTAAAACTGCTAAAACTTGATGCCACTTCGTTTTTATTTTTATTTACAGAAGAAGAAGAAGACTGTCTTCAGAGGTTTTTGTGTAGTTCTTGGTGCAGCGCCCCCACAGGCGAGTGGGAGAATAGGTTGGTTCAACAGGTTGACTCGACTGCACAGTGCAGTGTGAATGCAAACGCACCAGCTCAAATGTAAACAAAAGTTCATGAATATTGGTCCCGAACCGAACAGAGTCTACCGGACTATCTGGTGTGAAAATGACCTTTGTTCACCCTGCGGAGCGGGGCTCGGTCTGTTTACATTCACACTGAACTCGAACCGCGCTGGAGTTCGCTTCTACCGGACCGAGACCTAGGTTTTAGCCCAGGCCAGAGTTCGCCTTTTTGTTCTGTGACAGAGTTCGATGGCGCGTTCACACCTCCCTAAACGAACCGGACTTTCTAGGAAAACGAGCTAGAGTTTGATTAAAGTGGACTAAACGGGGCTGGTGTGAATGCACCCTAACACTGAATGCTAGGAAACACCTTATAACTGCTATCCTTCTGGTCTTTGACTATTTTTTAAATTATTCATCCATCCATTATCTTTACCCGCTTATTCCATTTTGGGTCACGGGGGTCGCTGGTGCCCATGTCCAGCAATCACTGTGCGAGGGGTGGGGTACACCCTGGACGGGTCGCAAGTCCATCACAGGGACACACAGAGACAAACGAGACAAACAAACATTCACTCTCTCACTCACACCTAGGGACAATTTAGAGTTACCAATCAGCCTAACATGCATGTTTTTGGTCTGTGGGAGGAAACCGGAGCACCCGGAGAAAACCCACGCATGCACGGAGAGAACATGCAAACTCCACCCAGAAAGGCCCCTGGACCGGGGTTTGAACCAAGGACCTGCTCGCTGAGAGGCAGCAGCTCTACCAGTTGCGCCACCGTGCTGCCTAAATTATTCATTTATTCATTTATTTACAAGAAACAAAATAAAACAAATTCATCAAAAAGAAAAAGCATTGAATGAAAAGGGTGCAGAAAGAAGAATAAAATTCTTATAATAGCTGCCCCTTATTTAAAAAAAATAAATAAATAACTACAAACAAACTACAACCTACACTTGAACAATCTCCAAATTGAAAACAAAATACATCAGGCATTCTTCACCTGGCACCATACCTTCCCAACATCTTTAACTTAATCATCTTTTTAAACATATAAATTGTTTTATAAATTTTTATGGTGACATCAAGACAATTCCACAATCCTGTTCCCTGAATTACAACGCAGCTCCTCCAGACTAGTTCTAAATGGAGATTTTACAAACATTTCCATTCCCTTAAGGTTATAACGACTCTCTTTTTTAATTCAATTCAATTCAATTCAGTTTATTTATATAGCGCCAAATCACAACAAAGTTGTCTCAGGGCACTTTACAGGAACATTCACATACATAAAAGCCAATTAATTTTAAACAAATTTTAATTGAATATTTGGGGGTTATATTTTTATGATCTTTATACATGACTTGTAAAATACTATATTCAACCAAATAATAAAATTTTAATTATTTCAACTGATGAAATAATATTATTTCATGGGGGACCATAGCACTTCCTACTATTAATTCTTATAGCTCTTTTTTGTAAAATAAAAATAGAATTTGTAATTGTTTTGTGTGCTTTTCCCCAAACTTCAATACAATAGATTAAATATGGAACAATCATTACTTTATACAATATATACAAAGTTTTGTCATTCATTTTTTTAACTTTATACTGTAATGCAATTGATTTAGCTATTTTTATTCTTAAATAATTTACATGAGATTTGCATTTCAGCTTCTCATCAATAACACCCCAAAATTTTATTTAATTATCTCTATAAATTTCAATACTGTCAATTTTAAATGGGACTTCGATAAGTTTCTTTCTATTACTAAATACAGTATCATGTAATTTGTTTTTTTCCAAATTTATTATATTTCCAGAGGATAATATGGGATATTTCCAAATTTATGGTGACCAGTGTGATATTATTTACATGCATGCTCCTGAAACCACCTTGCAGATGTTGGACGCTGTCTATCATGGCGCAACAAGATTCATAATTGGTCGTAACTATCATACCCATCACTGCACCCTGTACTCACTGGTTAACTGGTCATCATTAACCTCATGCAGACTCTCACACTGGTATATTTTCATCTTTAAATATCTTCTTGGTCTGTTGCCTTCATAATTCTCCCCTACATGTCACATCATCAGTGCAGCTACATTGTGCGCTCTCAAGATACCATTACCTGCAGCGTCCCCTCAGTGCGGACTGAACTTGGCAAAAAAATATATATAGGAGTATACTCCGCTCCTGTAACCTGGAACACCTTACAAAAAGATCTGAAGTCGTCTTCTTTGACCTTAAACAAAAGTTAAGTTCAATGCAAAAATCAATGCAGACATGTTCCTGGTTTTAGTATTTTAACCTAATTTCATAAAGTAGCTTGTTTATATTCTATATCATTACTTTATTTTTCATATTATATGCATTTTACAGCTGTTTATTGTCGTGTGTACCTTATCTGTGGTTTTGTTTAAAACAGGTCCATCTTGAAAACGAGTCCTCGTGACTCCAACAAACTTTCAAGCATTACTGTAAATATACACTGGCTGCCCCCCCCCCCCCCAAAAAAAAAAGTTGCCACCTGGATTTAACTAAGCAAATACGTACGAGCCTCCTATTGGATAATCACTGCATGGGTGGTTATCTTTCACCTGGCAACAAGTTATTTAAGCCCAAATGGTGCAATGAGTTGCTTCTCAGTTCTTGTTGAAAGACACAACGCGTGGTTGTGGACAAGATGTCAGTCTGTTTGAGAAGGGTCAAATCATTGGCATCAAGCAGAGAAAACATCTAAGGAGATTGCAGAAACTACTAAAATTGGTTTAAGAACTGTCCAAAGCATTATTAAAAACTGGAAGGATAGTGGGGACCCATCGTCTTCAAGGAAGAAATGTGGCTGGAAAAAAATCCTGAATGATTGTGATCGGCGATCACTTAAATGTTTGGTGAAATCAAATTGAAGAAAAACAACAGTAGCACTCAGGACCATGTTTAATAGTGAAAGTAAGAACATTTCCACATGCACAATGTGAAGGGAACTCAAGGGATTGGGACTGAACAGCTGTGTAGCCTTAAGAAAACCACTCATCAGTGAGGCTAACCAGAAAAACAAGGCTTCAATTTGCTAGGGAGCATAAAGATTGGACTCTGGAGCAATGGAAGAAGGTCATGTGGTCTGATGAGTCCAGATTTACCCTGTTCCAGAGTGATGGGCAAGAAGAGAGGCAGGTGAAGTGATGCACCCATCATACCTACAGTAGTGCCTAGTCATCAATGAAAGATCTTGGTGAAACATTAATGCAACACTGGATGGAAATAGATCTTGTGACATTGCAGAAGCTTATTGAAACAATGACACAGCGAATGCATGCTGTAATCAAAGCTAAAGGCGCTCCAACGAAATATTAGTGTTTTTTGGTGGCTACTTTTTTTTTGGCCAGGCAGTGTACCGCCACCTGCAGTTAAAGGGTTCAGCTTTTCAAACATTACAACCATTACAATTCCACCGATTAAATGTCATTTAGCCAGGACAAATGTGAGCAGAGATGTTGAAAAGATTTATTGATAAATGAGCTGCTCCATGTTCTCATGGGGAAACGGGCATCGACTTGGCTGCTGATGATTACAAAAGCTGCAGAAAGTGTTAAACACAAAATCTTATGAGTCCATTATTATCACCACCATTATTTTCCAGCACGCTGTTCAAATCCACTTTTCCACAATGTCTTTTAAAAAAAACATCACAGTTTATGGTGTGTTTCTTTGCAGTTTCCCATAACAAAAAAAATTAACATTTAAAATATTTACAGTGTAACGTCAGGTATATCTACAGCCCTGATGGCTCCTCTGAGGTTCTTCACAAGAACGTCCACGTAGAAAAATAAACAGCACACTTGGTTTCATCCTGTGTGAAATCCTGTGTAATACACGGCATTTTTAAAACAACATGAACCGATCCGGCTTTAAAGTGTACTGATAGAAAATGATCCATTCTGTGGTAGAAAAGTTAATTCTACAGTAGGAATAGACGCAATAACATCTACCGTATTTTTCAAACTATAAGGCGCACTTAAAATCCTTTAATTTTCTCAAAAATCAACAGTGAGCCTTATGTTTTCATTCTGGTTGTGCTTACTGACCTCCAACAGATTTTATGTGGTACACGGCGCATAAAAATCTGTCAAAATGTTTTAGTTTCGCTTAATGCGCCTTATAATCCGGTGCGCCTTATAGTCCGAAAAATACGGTACTCTAAAAAGCACAGATGCTGAGGTGCACCCCCCCCCCCCTCGATTCAAGTGTTCAACAAGGTTCTTGTATGTCCATATTTGGCTTTGCTCACAAAACAAGGGGTCATATTTAACTTCTCAAACTCACTTATCCTAGTTTCAAACCATGCCAGAAGAGGTATTTTAAGATAAAATATAAACTTCCTATCCCCGCTAACTATTACAGTTGGCTTTTGTGTTTTTAATTTGTACATTTTTTTTCAAGTATTTTTTTAAAATCCTGACAAAGATTACTAACTACAGTGATTAAGAGGAATCTTAATCGTAGAGTTGATGGGGAAAATCTATAAGCACCACCATAAAACCTGGCTGACATGCTCATGCCTTAAGCTCACGAAAATAGTTAAATACATAATTCTAAAATACGAGAAACTGAGGTGAAAACGATGCTCTGCAGGTTGGGCAACGTAAAACACAGAGGTGAGAGAACTTGTAATTAAAAGCGGACACTAGTAAAAACTGACTCTCTACTGGCAGCATGGCTTAAAGCAGTGGTTCTCAAACTGGTTTCCAGACCCCCGGGAATCAAAGAAAAACTAACTTTTTTCTTTTCTTTTTACAAGTAGTACATTTAACAACCTGTTAAAATACACCAAAACACAGGAAATCACATTTACTTTATTTAAAATTTTTTGGGGGAGGACCACCAGACCCCACCCCCATTTGTGTTCCGGCATCGATCGGTTTACAAACGAAGTCCTGTTACTTGGTTTGACAACTGCTGTTATAATTCTTTTCAGTTTTATGTAAAAAGTTTTCTGTAATAATTTGAAGTGGCGATGCATTTATGTTCATTTTGTGAAGAGGTAAAGTTTTAAAGTGTTTTTTGATGCTGTTTATTTTCTCCAAACTGTCGTTTTTGGAAGTTGGAATAAAAAAAAAAGTTATTAAGTGCGTCATGAATGAAAAATACCATATAAAATTATATTAACACTATTAAAGAACAAATCTTAATATTTATGGTACACAAATATTTCCACTGCACTAAAGAGACAAATTGAAAAAAATTATATAATTACCTTGAGGGTTATGAGGGGGTCCCTAAAACTTTTTTCTCCCCTATAAGGGGTCACTGAACCCAAAATGTTTGAGAACCCCTGGCTTAAAATGTTTTAAAAAAATAAATATTGCAAACATTCAGGCAAGAAAATAAAAAATAGATTTAGATAATAATAATCTGCATGAAGGAAGGATGCTTACAAAAACCCCCCAAAAAACAAGTGTATTTCCAGGAAGTGAGTTAGGGATGTTTGCTGCCAAGTCTTTTAAAAACACTGACAGCCTTGACGTCCATCTTGGCCCCCACAGACTCTCCCCCTACTGCCCCCGCAGCCCCAGTGCTGCTGCTGACTTTGCAGCTTGCTATCGTGGCTTTCTCCAGCGCTCGGGGCTTGGAGCTGGTCACTTTGTTGTCCTGTGTGTCAGCGGGTGTGGCAGACATGACAGCGCTCGCAGCGGGGAGTTTGCCCAGTCTCTGAAGAACGCTACGTTTGGCAGGAGGGAGGCTTTTTAAGGAGGAGGCAGAGGAGGAAGTGGGACAAGCAGAGGGAGGAAGTTTGAATTTCCCTCCGAGGCGTCGCAGGCTGGTGGGGGCTGCTTTTGTGGCTGTTTTTTTCTTCTGGGTTAGGGGGGGTCTTTTGAGAACACCAGCGTACTGCAGGACTGAGCCTTCTCCATCACTGTCCTCCTCTTCATCCAAGTTTACAGCCACGGTCACCAACTTCAGCATGTCTTCACTTTTATCCTCTTTGTCGAGGCGACTGAACACACCAGTCGGCTGTTCAAAATATGAGCACATAATTTCAGAACTGGACTTTAACTGCAACTGGACTTTATGGGCTACAGCCGAGGACACGCTGACCGCCTCACCTTGTTATTACAAGTGGTTGTGTCTGCCATCGATTCAGCTCCAAGTCGTTCGAACACAGACGTACGCTTCAAACCTTTAAAAGAGGAAAGCAGGACGTGTAGTGGTACACAAACATAAACGTCGAATGTGATTTTTTTGTTTTCGTCATTTAGAAAAATTGTTAACATTTACGCAAAATTCAGCATGATCCTGATTATAGAACAATGAAGGGGAAGAAAACGTTATCGTTACGATAACTATAAAAGGTTTTTGGTTCATTATTGCCTGCTAAAGAAAGGCGGGAGCTATCTGACCTTAGAAAATACAGCTATAACTATTTTACGGATTTTAAACAAGTCTGACAAAAAGCTGGAAAACAATTGAAATTCATGCAAACATTTCTATAGTTATACTGTGGTGATGCAGGACAAATTAGGAATATTAAAAAATACTTTGTAAGAATGGCTAGTTTAGGGAAGAGGAGTGTTAGTAAAAGATAAAAATCATAAATGTCTGATTATCAACCCCAAATTAGAGGCTTTAGTTCAGGGGTGCCCAATACATCGATCGCAATCTACCGGTCGATCGCAAAGGCATTATGGGTAGATTGCATGGCATTAAAAAAAATAGACTTGAGTCTATTTTCCATCCTCACTATGAAATTTGTTACTTGATTGAATATACACGGCAGCCAGTCACAGCCCTCATTCTTTCAAAACAGGTCTCAGAGTGGATATTTTTGGGGAAAATATTTATATTTATCACCCCCCCCCCCCCCCCCCCACCCCCATTCTCCGTATGAGTCGCACATGCGCACTACAGGCAGCTGCAGTCCAAAGTTTTTCTGCACTAACAACAGTTATAATAAATGGCAGAGAGCAGAGTGTTTTTTGTTCTACTCACCCTTTTTCAGCATGTAAGAGCAAAGCTAATACAATTCAGTTACAAACAGAGGTTAGTATATTAACCAGTTGGACATACCAGTAACTGATCATGCAGATGCTGCATGCACGATGAATGCAGCCGAGCTGGCTTCAGATAATTTTAAAATGTCTTAATTACCCCCTTCTTTTCTGTTCTCATGTTCAACAAACACAACACACACCTCATCTTAGAACATCTTAACTCAGCACATACGACAGTTTAGGTGAAAGTACTGTAATTTTAAAGCGACAGTACTATAGTTCATAATTGCTTATCTGGCAACCAGACTGACATGGAAACTACAGCGTTTATCACGTAAACCTGTTCAGTTTTTGTTTATTACATAAACATTGCTAAAACACTAATGTTTCCAGAGGTTGTTCTCATGTAAATGAAGCCTTAGATCACTTTGACTCGTACATTTCAAAAGTAGCTTGCACGCTGAAAAAGTCTGGGCACCCCTGCTTTAGTTCATCGGAGAGGACATTTTACGATTGAATAAATAAGTTAAGTGTTATTAGTCACTCCCGCTGCTGGCGAGACCACTGGGCCAGGCCTACCTTTCTTGCCCTGCTGGGCCAGGATACGACGTGTACGAGGCGTGGTGCCTTTGGGCATGTTGATGATGTACTTGCCTTCCATCTCAGCTGTCACGCGCCGCCGCTTCGCCGCTGGCAAACCGTTCCCCTCATCAGCTGGTTGACTTACAACTGACAAAAGTGATCCACACGAGAACTAAATGAAGATTTGAGAGGAAGGGCAAACAAACGACCGGCGAGGTGAAAGAAACTTAAAAACCATCTACCTGCTTTGTGGTTTTTGTTCGCCTGAGAGTTGGACACCGTGACGGAGAGCCGGTTGTCAGGTCGGCGGGTGGGAGTGGCTGGAGGGGAGTCATGGCTCAGAGCGTTGGCAATCATACGTGTAGCAGCTGCAAAACCAACAAAACAACTATTTTAGATTGAGATTTGGTTGGTTTCCTAAAAAAAACTCATCAGGTTTTGCTTTACAGTGCAACCGATAGTCAACCTTTGATTGATGGCATTCATGTGACTCTGACACACCTAAACATCGCCGCTGCACACTCTGACTGCAGTCTCACAACAGAACAATGCACAACCTCAACATTGCACAATTTTTTTTAAGAACGACTCAAGAAAAACTACAAAGGAACGACTTCCTGGAAAGTATCTCGAGCTGTAGGGACACCCAATTCTACGAAGCGCTCAATGATGATCCAACAAGACCAAAAGTTCCTGCTGCTCTGGTGTCAAACACCACGTAAAGGGCTGAGAGGTTCCTCGTTTACAGTTGATCCGACACCAAAATGGTGACCTAACTCCTGTGAGGCAGGTGGTTCTGATTTTGTGGTTTTTAGGTGTGTCGATCTTAATACAATTTTTACAACTGTGCAAATAAGAAAAAGTGATGGTGTGGATATGGAGGTGGATTTTGCAAAAATGATGTAAATGGCTTCAGTCAACACCTATTTGCAAAAGAGAGAGGATCATAGTGACCTATAAGAGTGGAGGCAGGAGTATGCAGGTCGACTACATTTTGTGTAGAAGAGGAAACCTGAGGGAGATTGGAGACTGTAAGGTTGTGGCAGGGGAGAGCGTGGCCAGACAGCATCGGATGGTTGTGTGTAGAATGACTGTTGTTGTGAAGAAGAGAAAAAAAGTCAAATCAGAGAAGAAAATCAAATGGTGGAAGCTGAAGAAGGAAGAATGTTGTGAAAAATTCAGAGAGGAGCTGTTAAAGGCTCTGGGTGGTAAGAAAGAGCTTCTAGATGACTGGGCTACTACAGCAACAATCATCTGGATGAGCCACATAATGAAGATCTGGGAAAGAGTTGATGAAGCTAGACTTAGACGAGAGGTCTGTGAGCAGCAAAATGGTTTCATGCCAAGAAAGAGCACCACAGACACCATCGTTACTTAGAGGATGCTGATGGAGAAGTACAGAGAGGGTCAGAAAGAACTCCATTGTGTCTTTGTGGCTTTAGAAAAAGCATATGACAGAGTGCCAAGAGAGGAGGTGTGGTAGGGCATGAGGAAACCTGGAGTGGCAGAGAAGTATGTTAGACTGGTAAAGGACATGTATGAGGGCAGCAGGACAGTGGTGAGATGTGCTGTAGGAGTGACAGATAGCTTTAAGGTGGAGGTGGGAGTGCATCAAAGATTGGCTCTGAGCCCCTTCTTGTTTGCTCTAGTGATGGACCAACTAGATGAGGTCAGGCAGGAATCCCCGTGGACTATGATGTTTGCAGATTAAATTGTGATTTGTGGTGAGAACAGAGAACAGGTGGAAGAGAACTTAGAGAGGTGGAGGAATGCACTTGAAAGAAGAGGAATGAAAGTCAGCTGTAGTAAGACAGAGTACATGTGTGTGAATGAGAGGGAGGCTGGTGGAACAGTGAGGCTACAAGGAGCAGAGGTCACAAAGGTGCAGGACTTCAAGTACTTGGGGTCCACTGTCCAGAAAAATGAGGAATGTGGTAAAGAGGTGAAGAAGAGAGTCCAGGCAGGATGGAGTGGACGGAGAAAAGTTTCAGGAGTGATTTGTGACAAAAAGGTGTCAGCAAAGGTCAAAGGAAAAGTTTACAAGACAGTGATGAGACCAGCTATGTTGTATGGTCTGGAGACAGAGACATGGACAAAAAGACAAGAAAGAACTGGAAGTGGCAGAAAGGAAGATGTTGAGGTTCTTCTTAGGAGTGACAAGGATGGATAAGATCAGAATGAGATCATCAGAGGTACAGCACAGGTTGAACAACTGGGAGATAATGTTATGAAAGGCCACACTGAGATGGTTTGGACATGTCGAGAGGAGGGACAGTGGGTATACTGGTAGAAGGATGTTAGAAATGCAGCTGCCAGGAAAAAGACAAAGAGAAGATACATGGATGCAGTTAGAGAGGACATGGAGGTAGTTGGAGTGAGGACAGAGGATGTAGAGGACAGAGTGAGATGGAGGATGACTCAATGTGGCGACCAGTGAAGAGGGAAAAGAAGGACAAAGTACGGTAGTTCATAAATGATAATATTAATTCACATCACAAAGAAAACCAAGAATTCAACAAGAGCAAGCACTCTGCATGCGTCTTTAACACTATCACATCAATATTTAAAAAATGATGTATTACGATATAAAATCATTTTCACATTTCATCTTTTTCATCAACTCTGTGACCACAATGTTTAATAAAATAAAAAAAAAAAAAAAAATCTATTTTAAAACTAAATAAAATGTTTTGACATTTAGGCAAAGCATTTGAATCTACACAAAACAATATAATTTAACATTCTTCTAACATTTAAACAAACGCCTTTATTTAATTTGACTTTTTTTAAATGAGCACCTTGGCCTCAGAGCAACAACTTTAACTAGAGGTTATTTTGAAAATAACTTGCTTCTACAAAGCTTCAAGACCCCACTATCTAATGTTTCATGACCAACAGTGGGCACCCGACCCCAACTTTGGAAACCAGAGCTCCTGACTGAAAGGAGTAACTGATTCTTAATCTTTATAAACAGACAGATTTTTTTAAACAGCATACTTTGACTTGTAGAAAATACATTCTGCTACTTACGAGTGTTGGCAGTTCTTCTGAGCTCAGCCTTAAGGCTCGTCTGTCCAGAAGAGATGGCCTCAGTTGCCATTTTGCACATATCCTGAAGGAAAGCATCATGACTTTTAGTCTAAAAATGCACTGTTGTCTTAAAAAATCTAATAAAAACCAATAAAACATTTATTTAACTATGTAGGAGCAAAATTATTCACTAAGAGACCATTTTAGAGCCAAAGATCTATTCAAACATCTATTCTCCTTTACCACCTGTAATATATTTTTGATACTTGTCTGCTAATATCAAAATAGTTAACAGTGAGCCACTTTCAACTAATCAAAATATAAAGGTTGACCTCACCTGCCTGTGTACCTGCTTGGCATGTTTAAGAATGGCGATGATGTCACCAACGACAGTAATACCAAGGTCCATCATGATGTCTTTACTGAGGTCCATCAGCATGTTCTTCTGAATTCTGTTGTTGTATTAAGAAGCAGAAGAAATAAATACAAGAAAGAGAATAAGTGTCTAAGGTGTGGGATATCAACTGCATATAGTGCAGTACTGGTTTGAAGTTACCTGTTGTCCACAAAAGAAACAGCGTAAGTGACAGCGAGACCAGCTGGAATCCCCGCATCCTTAAAAAACTGGATCCACTCTGAGGTGGCTATCAAACACAAATAAATTTGAGATAATTAACGTAAACTCTTCTAATGAAAAAATATCTCTTGAACCACCAAAAAAAGGTGATTATATTTGACAAGAGTCTACTGCATGTGTCACAGAAAATCAATGACTATACAAAAGGACATAAAGTAGTATTAGTAGGAAGAAATATTCAACATTAAAGATGCAAACAGGCAGGAAGGAAGCAGAAAGAAGTTACATTTTTAACACAGCAGCATTGATTCATTCGACCTGTTTGGGGTCAGTTGAAGTTTACTTCTTCAAACCCCCCACATTAAAACTATTTAAGAATTTCATCTCTCCATATCTTGTCTGATGTTGACAAGCTTACCTTCAAGTGAACATCACAGCGCCTACATCTCAGATTCTGTTTCTTTTAAGTTACTTTTGGTAGCTCTTTTAGTTTGTCTTTTTACAGGTTTTGTCTGCTTCCTGTTGTTGTCTGTGTGTTTCCGTCATTTCCATTCCCTGTACCATCAGTTCACTCTTCCTCAGTCAGATTCTGCCCTGCCCACTCTCACCTGTTCCCTGTTGTCATTTCGCCCAGGTGTCTCCGCTCCTCTGATCAGTTTCTGTCTATAAAGGCCCTCAGCTTTTCACTTCACATCATTCTGACATTGTGCGTGCTACTTGCCATGTTCAGTTCTCCTTCATGTCTCCTCAAGTTTTGCAGCTATGTCAGCCTTTTGCTTTTCTTAATAAAGTTCTTGTACTCAAGCTCATGTCACGTCTGCATTCCTGGGTCCTACAGTACAAGTATTAATACATCAAAAAGCTCAAGCATTCATACTTAAATTACTCAGTAAAAATTCATGCAAATCATCAATATACCTTTGCTAAATATATATGTCTTGTTGTAAGTCTTTCAATATTACATACTTATACTAATTACCTAAATGGATAATTGCACAGCAGTACCTTAATGACCAAAACATATTCCCAAAAGCAACAAGAGTTGATTTGATTGAAATAAACCAAGCACAGTAATACAACTGGTGATGGTATGTTGCAGTAGAGCAGCCTGAGACCAAACCTAAATGTGAGGGGACAGCAGCGTGTTGAGGTTTAATACACGCCGACTGCGAGCAGCTGGAGGTTATTTATATCACCAGTGACGAGACATCTTATGGCTGAGGTTACAGATAAAGAATGAAGGAAGCCCGGCAGCTGCCACAACAAAAACCCTGACTGTTGCTGAAGGAGCTCTGCCGAACTGACACGAACCTCTCACTCACTAATTTCTCATTTGACCCAGGCACCTTAACAAGTCACAGCCAATGAGAGACCGTGTGTATCATTTATTAGCGCACGATTATATTCAGAAATGTTAAAAGTCCATTTACTAAAATAGCTCGCAGACCTGACCCTCCGAGCAAGCCCAACGTTATAGTTTGTTTTAAATTAACTAACACGAAACTATAAATTAACAATAACGTAGAATTCACAACAAAATATGCGTTAGCATTAGCATTCTTCGGTTAATGAACTAAAACGATCCGACTGCTGTACCTTCAATGAGTTCAACTTTTACCACAACGTTAGGAACGCGTGCGGGGGTGAAATCTCGTAAATCTGTACTTAAATGGATTCAATTTCGCTGCTAAGTGAGCTGTGTGAATGTCGCCGGACCTCGACGTTCTCTCACCTGTTGTCACGGACGCCATGTTTACAATGAATGAGGAGCAGGCGCTCCGGTGACGCAACATCCGGTGTTGTGCCGAAAAATGTATGCCCGTCGATAAAAGCGTCCCCCTGTCACTGAAAACCGAAAAGTAACGTGTTTTGACGTCCGGCTACTTGATTACCAACAACTTTGCTCACAATATAAAGTATTTAGTTCACATATATTGGCAGATAGCGTGAAATTTGTGAGTGCCGGAATCTTAGAAGCTTAGCTTATCATGAAAACACCCATTTACGCAGCCTATATATTATAATGAAATAATTAAGAATAATTGTCATTACAGGAATAGCAATGCTAGTCTTACTTTTTTACTTTTATTTGATTTATCAATTAGAAAAGGTGCCTACCACTGTGCTTTTGACGGTAGGAGTACATTTTTTGTTACAACACCGGCTGTAGTGCCACTGTGCCAACCACACTACATGAAAGAACATGATGTGATTTGCTGGTGAAGATTCTCAGTCATCCAGGACATGATGAATTCAAAAAGCGTTCAATACAAAAACAACTGGACTTTATCCTTCCTAAAATCTTCTGTTACAAATAAAGTCCAGTTGTTTTTGTATTGAACGCTTTTTGAATGGTGTGGTTTGTTCATTTTACGACCGCTAGAGGGAGAAAGAGACTGACATTTCAGCAAAATTCATGCACAATAATCTAGATGGGTCTGGTGTGCTAAATGTTATTGACTTTGACTCCTTTAATAACACTTTTAAAATAAAATGGATAAAAAATTATCTTAAAAACTCAAACTCTATCTGGAACTTTTTTCAATCAACCTTTATTTAGACAGGTAAATCCCATTGAGCCTCCAGGACTCATTTACAAGAGAGACCTAATTTCAACAAAGAAAGATGACAACAATGGACAACAGTGACAACAATAGACAGAACTATGGTATTATTCAAGTTAATAAGCTATTTAATAACATGGTCTTCTTTATAGCTATGAAAAGTTTCTTACAAGGTTCCTGTCACTCCAAGAGAATATAGTATAGTCTTTGATGCTCTCCCATCTGGTTTGCTCATGTTGTTTAAAGATGTTGACTTCTCTTCTATCCAGTCTGAGTCCTCCTGACCCTGAGCAGTCTGCTGTTGGTACGTTCTGTTTCTCAGTTCAACTAAAAGGTGTCAGTTCCAAAATCCGTTTTTTTTTCCAAGAAAATCTGGTTTCATCCCCATCTTGAGTTTCCTATTGGAACACCTTTGTGCAGAATCTTAATTGGAAAAAAGTTTGGTCTCTCCCGCAAATTTTTTTTTTTCACTAATAAAGTCAAAGAAGTTTCTTTTAAATTAATTCATAAATTTTACCCAACCAAACACTTTCTTCAGAAATGCAAAACTGATATTGATATTTCATGTTCATTCTGTAAGCTTTATCCAGAAACATCTGTTCATCTTTTTTGGAAGTGTATATACTCACAGAACTTTTGGAAGGACATTGTTGCTCTGATATCCAATAATATCCAACCTGGTTTCCTTCTCTATTTTGAAAATGTTCTGTTTGGTATCCTAGATTTCAAGACAAAAGACTCCTCCAACATATTTATTATCAATCTGATCTTGTTTCTTGCTAAGTTTCATATCCATAAAAGTAAAATAATGCACAGGAAACCTTTTTTTAATCTCGTTGTAATGGATGCAAAACTGTATCTTGACACAATCTCAGATTCAAATAACAAAAAGGCTATAAAAACAAAAAATATCTGTAATGAATACAACTTAACTTTGTAACTCGCATTTATTTATCATTGTTTTTTTATTGTATTTTTTTATTTTTCTTATTTTATTATTGTTTGCTTCCTTTTTTTCTTCCTTTTTTGATATGTTCAATGTTATTTAGTGTGTATTTTTTAGATTCTTGTATTTGAAGTGAAGTTCTAAATAAAGATAAATAAATAAAGTTAGGTCATGTGGACCTGTTGTTGTTGTTGTTGTTTTGTTTTAGATATTTCGTCCTTCATCCAAAGGACTTCATCACTCCGAGGAGCCACAACAAACTTCTCAAAAAAAAAAAAAGAAAAGAAAAAACGAAACCGTCTAGAAGAAGATGACCTGACTGACCTTTGATGGAGTCTGACATTTCCATAGAGTTATATAAAACTACTAGAGTAGCGCTGGTTACTGGTCTTGTGACGCAGTGCAGGCGGCCATCACCATAACGGGCAATTGTCTGCGCTTTGCATTTTGGTGGATATTGGCAAAATACTGTAGCCCTAAGTAAGACTAACTATGTTAAAAAAATGTACAAAATAATAATAAAATGTGTGTACTATAATATTAGAATGTATATAAACTATAGAATGTATATTAAAATGTCAGAAAGCTTTGTGTGCTATGGGTGTAGCAACAACAAAGGGAGAGCACGTCTGTTTTCCCAAGTTAGCAGATTTAATCTTATTTACCTTAATGTTAATGTGATCCCACCAGAATTTAAGCAAATAATGTAACTGTTAAATGTAGCCTATGAAGCTGATGTAGTGGTTCTTAATCATTGAATTGGATAGATAGCTTAAATAATACAAGCTGCTATTGACTCAACTTTTAATGTTTGAACATAAAATTATATATATATATATATATATATATATTTTTTTTTTTTTTTTTCAATATATATTTATATGTTTTAGTTTTTTTAGGTCGCATGTGTGATGGGTTAAATGCAGAGCACATCATGATTTTATTTTTAATAACTCTATGGATAATTCTCATAAATCTAAAGAGGAATGCTCAATTATAAATATTACTTTGTATTACTTAATAGTATCCAAAAAGTTATGTCGGAAAGAAGTGGAGTAAGTTCATTAAAAGGTCCGTCAGCTGAAGTTTCTTTTGGGTTCTTAGAAATAAAAATGGCTTCATGGGCATATCCATCCATCCATTATCTTTTACCAGCTTCTTCCACTTTTGGGTCACGGGGGTCGCTGGTGCTCATGTCCAGCAGTCACTTTGCAAGGGGCGAGCTACACCCTGGACATGTCACAAGTCCATTACAGGGACACATAGAGGCAAACACACCTATGGACAATTTAGAGTTACCAATCAGCCTAACATGCATGTTTTTGGTCTGTGGAAGGAAACTGGAGTACCTGGAGAAAACCCACGCATGCACGGAGAGAACATGCAAACTCCACCCAGAAAGACCCCTGGACCGGGATTTGAACCATGGACGTGCTCGCTGAGAGGCAGCAGCTCTACCAGTTGCACCACCGTGCTGCCCTTCATGGGCATATCTTCTTTTGTAAATTTCTATGACAACTTGGGTTTTGATCATTTTAGTCCAAAAATACACAAAAACAAAGTAACACCAAGTAAAATTATGAAAAAAAGAGATCAGGTTGTGTAAATATTTGTGAGTGTAAGCATCCAAATATGTTTGGTATTTGCTACACCTGAGCAGACTTTCTTAAAATATCCATATAATAAACCTTCTAGAATTATTTTTCAAGCCGTAACAGCAGATTTACCTCAAGCACCAAAAAAAATGACTAATAGTGTTTTCTTAAAAACTCACAATAGACATGTATCAGCCAAATATATACATATAGTGAAGCAGATCAGGGCATATTTATCATATAGTAAGATCTTTATTTTTGTAATTCTCCAGAAATTAAAAATGAATGGCATTTACTCAAAATCATCAATAAACGAGATTACAACTTTTGCTGTCAAGAAACTGAGGAGACAAACTTTAAAATGTAAACGTTTCAGAACAGAAAAAAAAAGGGCCAGAGCCCCAGATCTGGACACAGAGGAGCAGCGAGTAGAGGCAACACAGGAAATATGGAAATATGTCACGCATTTTGATCTTCTTCAACAGAATAAATGAAGCTAAAGCAAAAATCAGAACAGCAGTAGTTTTGAGCATTTTTGAATTTTCGCAATTCATATGCACCAAAAAAGAATTACACTTTTAAAAGAACCTTCAAGTTAAGTTTTAAGCACCTCACAGTAAATGGAATGATTTTTTTCATGCTTCTTTGGGCCTTTTTTTAATGCTTATTCTTAAAAACAAACTCACATTTATTATGTTTTTAATCAATTTTAAAGGTGCCTAAAGGGTATTTTTGCTCACACCCTGAAAATAATACAACCAGATAAAAAGCTTTTTTTTTTAATGAGAGTCAATACACTCTACACAATCAATAAATGAAAAAATAAATATATATATATTTATCAATATTGTTGTTTTAAGATCATCTCAAAAAATAAATGTTATTTTGAATATGTATTTAATTTTTAATACTGTAACAAAATAAGTAAAGCAATACATCATCACACTTGACATAGAGTAGCAGTCAGCCTGGTTACCGCACAGTTTGCTACATTATGTTCATCCAAGAGGATTGTAAGTATTGCATTTCGTAACAGGGACAATGTGAAGTCAGAGCACGTATGGGAAAAATGAAATAAAAACAGAAACAGGAACATTCACCTCATCTTAGAAAATTAGGAAAGCTCTTGGTCAGGTCAAAGCTGCTGATGCAAGCAGGCTGTGTATCTCCCATGTTCCCTTGAGATTTTGCAGAGCTTTTTTTTATTTTTTTATTGTAAAGTTGCAGATTTAAAGCAAATAGAAAGAAACTAGATGAAGATAAACGGCCTTCTGAGGTCACGTAAAGATGAAGGAGGAGGTTGAAACAATGCTCTCTGTTTAAATTCACCTGTCACTGGCGTCCAATCAGAGTCTTTTATTTGGCAGTAATGCGTTACTGCCTCATCTTTGTGAGTCTCATATAAGTAGCACCACAAAAACCTATGTACATGAGAACTATTGAACGTGTTTTATGCTTATGCTGACACCATTATGTTGTTTTTTTATCACATTTGCATTTGGAGGAAGTCAAAATGGCATCTCCAGCTTTCTTTTTCTTTTTTTTGTAACAAACATAGTTCTTATTCAACATTGGGGGTGGAAAAAACGTGAAAAAAAAAAAAAACGAGGTCTGTCCATTTTCTGACCACCCGGAGCCACATTTGAACAAACATTCATAGAATTAATCAACTGTTTTGAATAAACGTGTTTAATCAGCAAATACAATCACAAGTTTTTTGGGTTTTTTTCCCCACAAACAACAAAATGAACAAACAATGTGGTTCTCCTTCAAAGACTCGCTCGTTAGAAGATGTGTCTGTGCTTTTTGAAACTTTTAAACCTAAACCAGAAGCAGGTTATTCGTCAATTCTTTGCTAAAAGAATCACGTGGCTTTGCGGTGTCAGTAGCTTTGGGACAGACCTCACTGAACAAAACAACAACAAATAAACAAAACAGAACCGTCTATAACATCATACAATAAATGTAACTTGGATAGTGCTTTATATTGTTTATAAAACATAAATACACATTGACAGAGGCAGTGACATCGTGCGTCGTGTTCAGGGACTTTAAATTCATTATAGTCTCTTTTTTATTTTTGTTGTTCCGTTATAAAAATAGTCATTTTTTTAATATGTATTTTACCTAAATCTTCATTGACAAAAATATCTTGTTTATATCTGCAGACATTCAAAGTTTACAATCATGGCACGTACACTTCTACACATACATGTTCAGATGTATGTGTACTGTTTCTTTTCTTCTTCTTCTTTTGTTGTGCACAATAGGCCTCCAAAGTTGCCAAATAAAAATATATATATATTTATAAAATAATAAAATACGTGTTACAAAGATAATAATAACAGTTGTGGGGGAAACACTCCCAGTGAAAATAATACAACAAAAAGAAAAAGGCACGAGTACGAGAGAAAGAACAGAACAAGGAATCGCACAAACAAACATAAACAATAAAATATATATATATAACAGTTTTCACTTAAACAATACAAGAAAAATGTTTTTTTACAAGTTCACAGACGAAGGAAAAGACGCTCACTCCTCAACATCAGGCCACATGTTCTCTCTGACTCCTCCCCACTCGGGTCTTGCTTTTGTGCTCAATCGCCACATCAACCTCAACAAAGAAAGAAATAAACGGGCCGGGCGCCTCCGAGTGGACTCGCTCCCAATAAACTCACGCCCAGAGGCCACCGAGCCCAACGTGTAGAGGTTGTCTGAAACACTTGTTGATTAAAAATGGAAAAAAGTCCCTTTGTTAAACAAAGGTTCACATCTGATAAACCCTGAGCTGCGACCGAATGTCTCGTCGGTTTCTTCAGCTCAGAGCATGAAAACAACGCTGTTTTTCTGATGGCATAAATGTTCTCTTGTCTTTCTTTGTTATTGATTTAGCTTTGTATTCATACCATTTGGCTTTTTGTGTGTGTCACCTTTTGGTCCTAAAGCTGGCTGACTAGGACTCTCTCCATCAGGGTCAGCCTGTCACTTTCTACTTTCATTCTCATGACAGTCGTGTTAAATCGTCACTCAAAAAATGGCTCAGCAGATCATCGTGGCGTCCATCTTTATGCGTGTTGGACGTAAGCAGAGTCGCTGTTCACAATAAAGATCTGAGCAAATGAGCTCCAAGGAGAGAAGTTCTTCTATTTGGTCGGGTTGCATCCATATCCTTGAATGACAGGGTGCAACAAGGAATGCTAGCTGCGCCGGCTTTCACTCAAGGTCCCAAGGGCTGGAAGGGGTCGTCGGCCTCTCAGTGGTCGAAGACTTCAGAGAGAGGGAGAAATATAGAGACAGAAGAGGAGAAAACAGAGATGGGTAGAGATGGGTCGCACGGCAGGTTGGCAGATGGCAGAAGAGAGTTTTGTTTGTAAGGTGAGAGAAGAAAGCACAAGGTTTAGAGGGAGGCTTTGACACTCAGACCTCCAATTTGTCACGTCAGAGCAGCAAAAAAAATGACGAAGCAGAGGGAAGCGGAGCAGATGAGGAGTTACGGGTGAGCGAGCAGTCTGTCCCCCACGAAAAGACCCTGAACAAACTGTCCTCGGTCCTTATTTAAGATCTGCACAAATACATTCAACAAGAGGGAAGCAGTGAAAGTAAAAAACAAGGATGGAAAAAGAATGAAAAGCGAGAGCACTAGCGGAGAGGCAACCGACAGAGGGAACAAGTTTGGGGCTCTGGTGCGTGTTGGGGTGTAGCACTACATGTTGTCGTTTACTCAATGAGAGTATTTGAATGAAGGAATTCATTGTGAATCAATGTGGTAATTCAGAGCAACTCAAATTGGCAACATAGATTTTGTTTGTGTCTATTTTAACTCATTAATCGTGCTCTGTTGCTAGCATTGTGCTAAGAACAAAAGAGCTGCTCCCTTGTTTCAGCTCAGTGTTAAAGGTTAAGTGATGTGCAACGTTCTCTAAGGCTCTAAACTGGAATTAATTTTCCAACGTGTAAACTTTAACCCAATCAGGTTCAAACGATCGGCTACTTTTAACTCGTTGAGGCTGATTGATTTGGTGCGTGTCTCAGCCTCCGCCTCCAGTGAGCATCGTGTGTGTGCTTGGTAATATGTGCGTGCACGTGTCTGTCGGTCAGTCAGAGCGCCAGCAGCGAGGGCGAGTTCAGGGAATCGGATGACTGCTCGCTACTGCTGTTCCGCTGGTTGGCACTGACCCCGCAGGCTCCCTCTGGGTAGGTGAACACAAATGAAGATGTGTATGAGGTGCTGTAACTGCCAACGGCCGCATCGTCATGGTTAACACCACCACCACTGTCACTGGCCATGAGGCATGGCCCACCAGGTGCTGGCTCACTTGAGCCATAGTAAGAACTAGAAAACTCTACCTCCTGCATCATCTCTGCTTGAGGCTGCTGGACTTGCTGCGGCTGCTGTGGAACCAGAGGCTGTGGCTGCGAGGAGGCCGGGTGGACTGTGTAGGCAGGAGGGAGATAGAAAGAGTCTTCCTTCATAGTCAAGCCCACGATGGAGACGGGAGGAGGTTGTAGGGACTGGGGAGGGATCTGGGACGGCACGGAAGGGAGCTGCCCTGAGCCCTGCTGAGCCTGCTCCTGATATAGAATCTTGCAGTTTGACTGGTGGGCCACCAGGACAAACTCCAGATGCTCTTTCTCCTTCTGCAGCTCCGAGATCTCAGCCTCCAGCTCTGCTTTCTCCTCCTCCAGTACGTCAGTCTCCTGCGAGGAGGAGGCAGAGAGAGAAACAACGTGAGCTAGGTGAGAGACAGGACAATACACAAGTGGGTGAGACAAGAAACGAGATGCAGAAGAATGATAAAGGAGAAGAGTGATTGCTACAGCATCCATCTAAAGGGATGGTTCGGATCTTTTGTAATGAGGGTCTGTAGAAAGGCTACAAACAGTCAACATCTTACCTGCTAGATAGTTCTTGAGTGTGAGGAAACTGGTTTTAATTTGGACTTAACTGATGAGCTAAGAATTAAATAGATGCATGGCATTGCATGACATGAAAGATACACTTTTAAATGTCAAAAATCTATTTTGTTAATGCAAATCTGTGCTGCCACTTTAAGACTGAGTAGTTGCTGCACGTGTCATTTGTTCTGGTTACCAAAGATTCCTATAGTGGAAACATGTTGCAGTAAAAAGCTTTCTCCTCATTTTAATCCTTTCTTCACTGAACTCTGAGGGATAGATGTTTGAAATGTTAGCTGACATGACTGGTTTTAGTAAAGACTGTAAAGCATTTGATTTATGTATAAATTCTCTTTGATAAACACAATGCTAGCAGCATTAGCTTTAGCTTTAAATGTCAAGTTATCATCTATGCTAACTGTTGTTCAGCAGCCTGTGCTCTTAATTAGGCATGAAAATATATAATTTGTGAATATGTATGTAAAGTGAGCCACAGTCATTTAGGTTATAAGACAATCAAAATGAATCATAATCAAATCCATCTGTTCTGTGCCTTAATATTTTCTTTGGTCTAGTCCAAGAACAGAGTAATGCTCATCTCTAGAAAGAACTCCTGTCTAAAAAATTTCAAAGCAGTTCATGTAAACACATTTTATTAACTTTTACACTGCCGTCAGTTTTTCCTCATCCATAGTTATTCCAGCAACGTTTCTGCTTGAATTTCCCCAAGCAGCGCTCAGAAATGAACCATTGGCTTTGGAGTAAATTACTGCATAAATACAAAAAAAAAAAAAACATTTTGGAAATGTTCATAAAATAGAACTAGAATAATAAACTGCTGTGAAATATTTGAGTTGGAATGAAACTACTTCTCCAAGTTGAGGTAATTCAAAATATTACCTACAACAGGTAAGATAGTAATTGTTTTTAACCTTTACATAGAACCCCACTTTAAAATATCTGAATTATCACATCATCTTTTTGTATTTATGGCTGTTCCCTATAGCAGAACTGCTTTCATTCCTTACAGGTAACATGTAAGCTGCCTCAAAGAAGAATTCCCTAATTATACTAAACATGTTCAGGCACAACAGTCTCCTAAAAACCGCAACTGATTTCATAAAAGACTAAACACCTGATTGCAATAATCTCTCCTACACAAAAGTTATTATTAACATCCTTCACATGCAATGGGAGGTTAAGTCTGATTATAGTCATTGTGCAGCTGAAACATGGCTGAACTCACCGACTGCAGTCTGTCTGTGAGCTCTCGTCTGCGGTTTCTGCATTTGGCAGCAGCCAGCTTGTTCCTCTCTCGACGAATGCGTCGCTTCTCCTCCTCCTCAGGTGTTAGCTGGAAGATCAGAAATAAACTGCTTAGTAGAAAAGCTTCGTTTTCACTTTTTTCAAACGTAATTGTTTTGTTCTCTTCCCACCCAGTCCTCTAAAAGTCTTTCCCTGCATGTGTTTTCAAAAAGCCTACAATGTAGATTTTTACCCTTTAAAGATGTCTTTAAATGTGAGTGCACATTACTTGGATGGAACCTTTGGTTCCCATGTAAGCTGTTTACCTGCACTGCATGTGTGACATGCAAGAGTCAACAAGCAAGCCGCTCAAGCACACAAACTTACTAACACACCAACATCGCCATCTTCACTCACAGACTCGTCTCGTGCACGGCGGCTGCGGGGTCTGGACTGGCGGACGGGGCCTGGAGCTGGCCCCGGAGTTTCTGAACTTGGAGGGGTGAAGCCAGCCCCTGAAGAATAGCTGGGACCCGGCATGTCATACGGGTCTACCAGTGGCATTGGCTGGGCCATGGTGGTGGTGCCAGTGGAAACACTCTGTCCAGAGGCCTGGGAGGAGATGAGGGTCGGCTGAACCAGCCACTGCAGGTCCTGGCTGGTGGTTATGGCGGTGACGGTGGGCACGAATGAACCAGGCATCTCAGCGCCACCACTGCTCCCTGGCCCGCTGCCCACAATGCTCAAGCCAGCACCTGCTGACACACACTCCTGCAGAGGAGAGACGAGCAAATTTCACTGAACATGAATCACACACAAGTTAAGTCACTTCCAGGGCCCCTGGAGATGAGCACCTGCTTCCTGAGACCCTGAACATGAACAAGTGGGTGAAGAAAAGTGGGTGGGGAAAAAACACAAGCACAAAAAAGTGACCAGTGCTGCAAAATGAGTGCAGGCTGCAGTGAAAAAGAAAGTGAAAACTTTTTTTGCACTAATTCAGGTGTGTGTGAAAAGGTCTCCATGTCATCCCAGTGACTATAATAGTCTGTAAAAATAAGTTTTCTGACAGGTATGTCTTTAAAAATAATCCTTTCTTTTATAAGTTTTAGAATTTCCTTTAAAAATCATAATTTGTCTCTGCCGGCTGCCATAGCACCAGGAAATCCCTTCATATAATCGTTTTTAAAATATATCCACTCCAGATGAATAAAAAGAGAGTTTTCAAATCAACACTTTGCAAACAAAACTTGCTTGTCGCCAGGTGATAAATTGCCAAATTTAAACAAATTCTGTGTCATTTTGAAGCTTTTGATATGAAGAATTGAAAAATAATGATAAATATTGACAAATTCCTCATTGGAGTTCAATAATCCAACACAAGTGTTATTTACTCTGTAAGACAGTGCAGTAACGAAAACAAAGTGTAGACTTTATGAATGCAGTAATGTAGAAATTCAGTCAGTGCTAAGGTATATTTTTTTTCATGGGAACATTTTCATCTAAAAAAAATCTGCTTTCAAAAGTTAAGCTTGACAAGAATTTATATAAAACCTCTGAGGGAGCAGCAGCCCTTTTCTTTTCAAATGATTAAATGTACATTTACCTTCCAGAACAACTGACTGTCATTCTTTTTTTTAAGATTGGAAAAAATGTCTAAAATGATCAAAAACTTTACCACAATTTAAATAATGTTGTTTTAGTCAATTAGTTTCTGTTGATAAGTGTTGTATTTTAATTTTGTTCAGTATTTTAAACTGTTTATCCAAAGGTCCATCTGACAATGGGCATTAGGGACACGTCCCCACAAGTATAAAATAAAAAACTATGTATAATGCACAGATTAATTACATAAACGTACTGCAGTTAGCAAAACAAAACAGATTTAGCTAAATGTGTATACCAGCCAGCATTATAAGGGAGTGAAGAATCATGCATCAAAACTGAATCTATAAGTTTTCATTCTTACTTATTGCTGAGTCATGGCGTTTTATAAATGGATCTAAACCTTAAAGAGCATGCCGACATTTATTCATTTCAAAGCGCGCGAGGACAGTGGAGGAGGCGACTCTGAGAGCGAGCGGCTCAACCAATCATTTCGTCTCTCCTCCCCTCCCTCCCTCTCAGTCCCTTCTTCCTCTTCCCTCCTCCGTCACACCCCCGGTGTTCCCCTTGGCAACGCGACGTAGCGCTCCAAAATAGAACACGCACTGACGTCACGGCGAAGCCTGTGAGCGGAGAATGGAGCGCGCGGAAGAAGAGAGGACGCGGTTAGACCAGAGGAGAAAGAGGGGGCGGGGCTTCGGCGCTGACGTAGGGAGTTCCAGCCGCTAGGCTCTGATCCGAGCACGCTGTCAGACAGACCGGGCTGCCATACTGGCAACAAATCACCGGAACTTTTACACACCTGCTCACAGAAACACGAGCACTTCTTTTACGAACTATCATTCTTCAGTTGGGATAAAAATCTCATAAAAAGTGGCACGATTTCAATGTTTTACTGCCTGTTTCTTCTGTTATGTGCCTTAAATTCATACAGAATTTAGCCGGTTTTCTTTTTTTATTATTTGATCTAGTTTTAATTGCATAGACAGCCTATAGTGAAATTACATATGTGGCCTTAGGAATTATTTAAAGTATAGCTGTTGCTAACGGAACAAACAAGCATCATACACTTTGCTTGTTTGTTTGATTTATCATGCAAGCATCCGTTTATTCATTTATTTATTAATCTCGCGGTCTCAATTACCTGTGGAGCACTGGTGGGGGGCGGGCTCCCGAAGGAGTCCACGGAGGACAGGTATTGGGACTCTATGGATGGAGACGAGCTTCCACGGGATCCGCTGTCGGGGTCGCCGGGGAACCCTTGGTACATCTCCCCGGAGGGACCGAAAGGGAACGAGACACCTGCAGGAACCGGAGGACCTCCGATGTCACCTGCAGCGGGGCCGGAGCAGCAGCACACAAGAGGGTTAAAGGAGGGGGACTGCGGGGAGAACATGGCTGGTGTTACTGCCCAGCGGTGCACCAATAAGTCCAGCCTAGTTGTTAACATTCTCCTAGACTTTTAAGTACAGCTGCGGACAGATGTTTCCGGTATATGGTGTTTTTCTTACCGTCAAGCTTTTTGTTATTTCCCGGTGAGATGGATCTGGTTTCTTTCCAAAATAGTTGCATGAAGAAACTTAATCCAATATCCCCCCTCCGATTTCAGAGGGAGAAAGTTCTTGAAGCTCTCCTCTGCCTTTATTCTCTTCTCTTTCTGGCTGTAAAATCCTCGCGCTGTCCCCTCAAAATCCGCTCGTGTCACAAGATAAATAAAAAAATAAAAAACAGCGTGCGATTATAGATCCATAAAGTCCGGTAACGGGACGCGGGTGTTACCGTGCGCCGTAGTAGATCTTGTCTTATGAATGAAGCCATCCGCCTCGAGTACAACCAGGGCATTTCTAGCTTTCAAGCCCCGCCCCGAAGTTCCGATGACGTACATGCCCATATTTGTCTCGGTGTTGTGTTTGGTATCCTTGGTGACGTTGAGGGATTCCCTCTCCCACTGAATGGACCAGAAGCTCACCTCGCCGACGGATAATAATAGCTTTTTATAAATTTGTTTATTTATTTTTATCACAGGCACAAGATATTTCTCACCGTCTGCCAATGTCTGAGAGGACTAAAAATGAGTGTGATAAAAATAGAAAGTATTCATTTAGAATATATGTGCGTGTGAGATATAGGATATTTTAGATCATGGGTATAAAATATGCTGTGTTAGTCTTATGAAACCATGTGCATTTTAATAAGTTTGATAGTTGACATGTGGTGCTTTCAAACTTTACATAAATTGTGGGGAAAGACTTTTATTTATATACATATGCTAAATGAAAAAAAGAAAGTGCAAAGGGGAGGGTGCATGGGGGAGATCCCACGCCTTCGGGACTCCTCATTAGGAGGGACTCCTTCTGAAAGAACAGCCTTCCTCTTCCTGATTTTCTGCGCTTAAAACCAGGTGTTTTACCTGCAAACTGAGATAGCAGTCTTGTGCAGGGTCTCTGATTTCTCGAAATAGAAAAAGTCCACACTGACTTTTGAGCAGCATGCAGTGGGCAGCAGTGACGGAAATCACAGCCTGTCACTGCAAACAAAAAAAGTGATTAATTTATTTTAAAGCCCACAGCAGAAGGAGTGTGGCAAGTGGAAGGCTGCTTGCAGGGGAGTTGCAGCGGCTAAAAGGCGGCAAAATCATAAATGAAAAATCAAGTATTTATTTATTTATTTATTTACATGTGCTGATGTCAGTGTGTCGCGGGGCGGCCATGCTGCGGGCTACAGCTGATGTGAGAACAGGCGGGGAGCCGGGGATAACAAGTTATTAGTCAGAGCTGCAACAACGTCAGAGACGAGGATTCACGGAGGAACGTCGAGTCCTGGACTCCCGTTAACGGAGACGCCGCCGCGGAACCGGGATGACTAACTATTACGTTGATGTAAGTCGCTCATGATGAGGAAATAGGAAGGAGGATGGTTAACGCGCGTTACCAGCCCACATTCACGACGACGAACGAAATTAAACGACGACAGGCAGAATGTGTCAAAAACTGTGTAACTTTTAACTGTTGTTTTACGCACAAAAGGCTAACATTATGGTTAATAAACTTTAACAATGACAAAATAAGCCATGTTCCCCCTTCTAATTCTGGTCAAAGTAGAAAAAAGTTTCGTACTTTCACATTTAGCCTAAAGATTAAAAGGCTAACTGTGCTAAAACAAGAGGCATGTGCTGCGTTTGTGTGTAGCGTTCCGTCGCCATGGATACGCCGTTGCCTCTGACGCAAGCACGTATAAATTTGGTCTTTTTTGTTATGCCGCCTAGCAACCGGTTACCGTGGTAACCCGCTCTGAACTTGAGGCACACAATATGGCTTCCGGATTCTTTCTGAGCAGGCGAGCAGGAGCTGCGTGGAGCCTATTTGAATCGATTGTTGTGAAGCTTTCGCTACATTTTTAACCGTCAGCGACTTTTGTTCGCGAAGCAGGAAACTTCGAGCTTAGCTCGTGTTTATTTTTCCTCACCAAGTCAAATGCAAATGAGCGCTCGGAAGCGCGCGACCAACACATTCACAAACATCTTGTTGCCATCTGTGCGATGGAAACATGTGCTCCAGTGATGACAGACACACAGTTCATCTTTGATATCAATGAGATAATCTGTTTGATTAAAAAAAAATAAAAAAAACTTTTTGAGATGTGACTTGCATTAGAAACTGGCAAAGGCAAACTTTGTTTTTGCCGTGTCTGTTAGCAAAATATCTCAGGAATCACTGAACGAATTATACTGAAACATGCAGAAAGTAATCATTGGACTTCCCTTTACAAATGATGAACTTTTAGGGTCAACCTTATTCAGCATGGCTGGCACAGAAACATAAATTTAGCTATAACTCATTTCGTTTTACGGATATTAACATAAATTTTGGTGTGGTAGTAGCTGAGACTGATCTTAAATATGAGCACTAACAGATGACATTAATGCTTTCTTTAAATATTACCATTAACAGGAGTCAACTAGTCTGTTAGCAAAATATATCATATACAACTACACATGTTTTGATGAAACTTTCAGAAATTAAAATTAAAATTTGACTAACTGATAAACTTTTGGAGTCAACTCAGTTTAACCCTCCCGCTGTTTTGGGGTCAACATAACCTCTTAGGCATTAGATCCAAGGACAGCAAGAGGAGTTAAGACAGTCACCACAGCCAACCTTAGAAAACACAAAAGAAGCAATTATTCCATCACTTTCACATGAATCGTGTTAAATGTAGTGTGGTTTCAGCTGGAAGTCATTTATAAATTTCACATTTTCTTTTAGCAAAATATCTCATAAAGCACTGGATGGATTTTAATGAAACAGTCAGACAGTACGGTAATCGGACATCTACACCTCCAGATGCAGGAAGAGGTCCACCTGCATCACGAAGAACCCCACTCACCCAGCACACACACTTTTTGCCCCGCTCCCTTCAGGCAGGAGGTTAAGGAGCATTAAGTGTAGAACCACTAGACTGAGGAACAGCTTCTACCCTGAAGCTCTTAGACTCATAAAACCCTAAAAGATGGCTATAATCACTGTAAGGGGAAGAAAAAAAAGATCACTGTAATTCCATTTTAATAGATGTGACTTTTCTGTGCTGCTGAAATCTGTGCTGCTGATTATCCATGCTGCTGATCTCTGATTATCCATGCTGCTTATCTCTGATTATCCATGCTGCTGATCTCTTGCCTTTGTGCTGTTTGTTACATTCATGTTCAGGCTGCTGTTTTTAGTGTTTAGCGTACATCTTAGATGTTTAGCGTTTGTTTAACGTTTATCTTAATGTAGATCTTAGGTCCTTATATACTGTTTCTTTTTATACTTTATATTTTTGCTATTTTGGGTGTAACTGAGTACACAATTTCGTTCCACCTCATGTACCACATGTGATGCCAATGACAGTAACGATACTTGAACTTGAATCATTGGATGAACATCTAAAACTAATTAACTTTTGGAATCAACTCAATTTACGATGGCCACCACAACTAATCAACACTGTCCAACACAAAAATGGATGTAACTCCAGTGCTGCAGATACTGATGTAATACTTGATGTGGTAGTAGCTGAGAGTCATCCATAACACTCTGAGCAAAAACAGCTAACATTTTAGTCTCTAAAAATTTAAATACAGGCACAAATGGCAATGGGTAAGTAACGACAGACCTTTACTTTAACTTGAACGCACAACAACAAAACTCCAATAT